ATAAACATGCAAAACTGTCTGCCGTTTCACAAATTTCATGATCTGACATTCAAATTTTTAAATAAGACATACTTAAAATTGACAGTAAACACTTTACCAAACCCACCCCCTCCCTCCAAATTTGTCTAAAACTATAAATAAATAAAATAAAAACTACAAACTGCAACAAAGTTGTGGCCATACCTTGAAGTTGTTGCTGTGCATCCATGGTATTAATCCATCAATGAAAAGACCAATATCCAAACAATCAATGGGGTTGCTTGGATCCCCAAGATAAGTGATGAGATCACATCCGATTTCATATTTCCTCTTTGTATCAGCAGTTGAGAGAAGTGGCTGAAAGCCATCCAAATCTCTGGGAGGTGGAGGTTGTCGTGCCATACTTGCTTGTTCACTTTCACAACACTAAAATAAGCACCACTAATCACTATCTGTCACAACGTTCAGGGTGCCCTCCCACTGTGCGCTACGGTCAGGACCACAACACTCTAAAGCTGAAGCACAGATGACGAATTTTTGAAGTCTCCATGGTATCTGAAAGGTGAGAAAAATAACCATAAGTTAAACTACAGCAGTATCAATTATTTTGTTTCAATAAATCAATAAAAAAGAATTATGTCAAGAAGTGTTGCAAATATAAGCAAAACACTTTGTGTTTATTCTCCAGATTATTTATTTTGTACCCAAACATAATACTAGCAAGGTTAGTATTAAGTAATTCGGAAAATATTGTGAAGGCCTTAAAAGCACCCCTGGCTTCTTCTTAGCAATCAAATACAATTATTTGTGACAGATGTGTTTACAAAATTTGGTTAGTTTTACAAATGAGGTAGGCACAAGTAATGAGTGGGAGATTTGTCACCTTGGGAGAACGAGCACAGGAAATATGCTTCTATTGTTGTGTCCTGCACAATACTAGCTCCATAAAGGAAAATTCAAATAGGTGGCAAGACTTTTTATTCAAAACATACAGTGTAAATTAAATAGAGACCAATAATGTTGGTGGCCCAAATAAGTGGGGTAATTTTAACTGATATTACCACAAAGATAAAAGCACCATAGCAAAAATTTCATAGTGCCAGTATACAACATTTCAGGAAACAATAACTCTTTTAGAAAATTGACTTATACATACAAATTTAGGGGTCTGACTTCTATGAAATTTCATTCAAAAGGCAACACAAAATCACGGAAGGGGTAAGATCACTACTACAGTATTACTTCCAGGACTGAATCGATCTCATCAAACTTTCAACAAACAGATTCAAAGGACACCTAGAGATGTTATACTTACAAAAAAACAAATATTTAACCATCAAGACTTGAACACTTGTTCAGATCTGTCACAAACTGCCATTTTGGTTTGGTTTGGATCACGATAAACTGGCGGTAGTGCGAGATACGGCCGCTAGAGGGAGGCAGTAGCGTCTTTTTTACTTCCTGACAGTGTTCTTCTTTAGTTAGGCCCTTGAGTCCTTCTATTGCAGCCAGTAACTGCTGCACATTGTTGCCAGACTTTGCTTTTTGGTTGACCAAAACAGGAAGAATTTGACGATTCCAAGATTCCACCACTCAATAGATTGCAAAGAAATGGTGGCAATATTAAATAGAATCCGCATACACTTTTCCCGCGTTTTCTGCTGGTGTTTGGTGTTTTCTCGTTGCTAGAGTTGCTAACCTGCTCACTCTAAGCGGGCTCTCCAGAACCACCAACATAAAAAGATTCATTCATTGATTTGTCACTATCCATGGAGTATTTATCGCATTTATATCAATAAAAAATGGTTGTTTGAAATAAAGCTGTAATTTTTTTATACATGTGATGGTAAGTAAATATGGAAAGCAAAGAATTTCACAGTTTGTGCTTTTTGACTTTAGTTGCCTAATCGTCGTCATTCAGAGCGGTATATTCAGATTCAGATATTCAAGTGTAAACAAGCAGAATGTTTTCTGCTTCACTTACAACAACTATTTTTTCTAGTATCTGTTTGAAAGAGGATTGTTTATTAGATATAAAAATGACAATTATGTACTGAGCTGCCATTACAGATTGAAACCTATTTTGAAATCCAGAAGCTTGTTCATTTCTTGTTGTAATACAACTTTAGGTAGGAAAGGTTATAACCATTCCCACATAACTTTTCTTTTGACTATCAACAACTGGTTCTTTGTTTAAATGTATTGTTTTCCTATATCTTTAACCTTTGTCTAGATTCTAACTGTGCTGGTCTTGCTCCTATGCCATTTGAAGATGAGTACCTTTCCTGGGTTGATTGATGAGATACCAAAAATATCCGTTGATCGATTCAATGAGAAAAATTTAACATCAGAATTGTTCTTTTTATCACACTTTCATGCAGGTGAGCTCATATTAATTCAATATAATCTGTGAATTTTAAGATTAGTTTTCTTTAATTGATCCTTTCTTGCAGATCATATGGTTGGCTTGAGATGTAGTGAGTTCCATGCAATTCTCCGAGAAAAGGAATCAGCATTTATTTATTGCAGCGAACTGACCGCTCTATTCTTGTCTCAAAACCATCTTCAAGGCCTTGATGAGAAAATTAAAGTGTTAGCTGTGAACAAAGAGCATGTCATCAAAATTAATGATGAGCATGGATTTGTTTCAGTAACACCATTGCCTGCAGGGCATTGCCCTGGGTCCATAATGTAAGGCTTTCCTCTAAAGAAAATTACAGCTCTTCAGTCACCTAACCGAAATATTGACTACTTTGTGGTTTTAGGTTTCTTTTCAGTTACAAAGGTCTTAATTATTTATATACTGGTGATTATCGAATGACTCAAGAAAATATAATGAAATTAAAAGCTTTAAAAGACCAAGATGGATGTTTTAAACCTATTGAAACTCTTTATCTGGATACAACTTTCTTTGAGTCAGCTTACTCATATTTCCCCAGCAGGGATGAAAGTATGTCTGAATTAATTAAAATGTGCAGGTCTTGGCTAGAGAAGGGGGATGACTATGTCATCGATATAAGAACACCTGGTAAGGACATACGGTATCTTATTCCAGTGAAGAGGAATGGAGGATTTACATAGAGATTTCCAATTTGAAGGGTTGTCTGAGACAACTTTGTTTTCATTTCTACAATTTTCAGCTACTGTAGGTGTTGAATACGTATTGATTACTTTGTCCAAAGAATTTGATCAGCCATTTCATGTGTCAGCGAGTGCACATGACAAATATTGCCGCATTCCAGAACTTTCATCAGCTGTTTCTAAAAGTGATAAGAGTAAACTCCATGCTTGCATAGTAAGTGTGATCTTACAAACCTTGTTGATTTTCCTTGATACTACTTTGAAATTTGATCCAGAACATGTCTATCTTGTAACTCTTTGCATGTGTATTTCTATTCTAGCCAGGCAATCGAGTAAGTGGAAAAACTCAGTTTATGCAAAGTCATAAAAATCAAAAAGAACAAAATGTTTTAAGTATTAAACTTTGTTGTCTA